GCTTCAAAAAATTATCCTCTAGGGTGTACGATACACTGTATGTACAAAATCTTAACAAGAGGATTTGGTGGTTAAATAGGGTTGATGTGATGGATATTTATTCCTATTCGTGTGTGTTCCAATCAGGGCCCAACAAAGTCACTTTCAATCGATAATCGTCAAGCGACAAAGAAGCTGTCAATCATCACTTTCAATTGAAAGTCATTCTGTCTTCTCTTCGAGCAGATGCTCTTCAACATCAACAGAACCACTTTCGATCAGTTTTCATGCCGTTTGTATAGCCTTGACTAGTGTTCATTTCGTCTTTCATTTTCAAATGAACTAACTTGCGCAATCGATCCAAATTCACGCAGTTTTCTGACTTTTGTTGATTGTTCACTCGATTAATTTAAACGCATGCTCATAGATCTGTGCACGTGGATGTCAAATTTATCATTGTCGGGTGGTTCAATATGGGTATTTTTGGAATCGGAGTGACGTCTAGAGACCGGAAATCGATGACCGACGCCATTTTGAAATCCAAGATGACGACTTCTGATTCCAGAAAAAGTGTGAAATACTGACAACGATTTATGAATATGGGTATTTTTGGAATCGGGGTGACGTCTGCTGAAGATCGAAAATCGATATGCGACACAATTTTAAAATCCAAGATAACGGCAGAGGCTGAAAATCGATATCCGACGCCAATTTGAAATCCAAGATGACGGCTTCCGATAACAGAAAAAGTGGGAAATACTGTCAAATACTCACCAACATGGGTATTTTTGGAATCGGGATGACATCTATAGGCCTGAAATCAATGATCGTCGCCATATTGAAATCTAAGATGGCAGCTTCCTTTTTCAGAAAAAGTGGGAAATACTGTCAAATAGCCATCAATAGGGTAATGTTTTAATCGGGGTGACTTCTAGAGGTTGAAAATCGATATCCGACGACATTTTGAAATCCAATATGGTGGTTTCCGATATCAGAAAAAGGGGAAAATACTTATGCCGACCCTCAATATGGGTAGTTTTTTAATCAGGGTGACTAGAGATTGGAAATAGATATGCGACGCCATTTTGAAATCCAAGATGGTGGCTTCCAGATTTAGAAAAAAGTGAGAAATACTAACAAATACCCATCAATATGGGTAGTTTTGGAATCGGGATGTCGTTTAGAGAATGAAAGTTGATGTCCGACGCCATTTTCAATTCCTTGAAATTTTGAAAAAATGGCAAAATCTATCAAATATCCATACATATAGTTTTCAATCAGAGTAATGTCTAGAAGCTGGAAATAAATATCCGATGCTATTGTGAAATCCAAGATGGCGGCTTCCGATTTGAGAAAAAGTGTCAAAAACCCTAAAATAAGGGAATTTTCAGAACTAAAATATGGGAAATTTTCAGAACCTAGATGCCGAAAATCGATGTCAGACGCCATATTTAAAACCAAGATGGCGACTTCTGGTTTCAGAAAAAGTGAGAAATACTGTCAAATACCCATCAATGCGGGTATTTTCAAAACTCCAGCAATGTCTAGAGTCCAGAAACCCATGTTTGACGCCATGTTAAAAGCTAAGATGGCGACTTTTGTTCAGAAATAGTGTGAAATACTGTCAAATATCGATCAATGTGGGTACTTTAGGAATCGGAGTGACATCAAGATGGCAGCTTCCGATTTTAGGAGAAGTGTCAAATACCCTACAAATGGCGTCGAATATCGATTTTCATATCTTAGGATATTTTACATTTTTTTCTGAGCCCGATGGCCGGCATATTGGATGCCAAAATGGCGTCAGACATCGATTTTCGGCACCTTCGCGTCGTCCCCGTTCCAAAAATACCCATATTGTAGGGTATTTGAGACTTTTCCTTATCCCGGTGGCCGCCATCTTGAATTCGTTAATTTAATTTTCGTTTAATATAAAATAACATTGTGGAAAAAACGATGGAAGCAGATTTCGAGTCATTCATTGCGTCAATTGAAACAAGTCTTTGCTTCAAATGAAATGAACTGATGCACTTGACGAACGAAAAAAGCGATAGTCAAGTCATGTTTGATAGGAGGAATGTTCATCGTGACTCGGTAACAAGGAACACAATGACTTACACGAAAATGATATTGCTCGAAATGAAGCGATTCTGCGGAGAGTTCATTTTCTGTTTTTTGTTTCGAAAATGCAGAACTCTGGTTCCAATTATAGCCTTTAGAATTCTCAGAGGTCATAAATGAAGCAGACCATAAAAGGAACGTATAGCAATTATTGGTTGATCAACCCTATATTTGTATTGATAAAATAGATTTGGACTCAGCACGTCGATAGAAAATGTTAGTGTGGAATTTCTTAACAATTGGTAATTTTGTTCTTCATCGAAAAATGTTAGACATGTATATTTTTTTTGCCATTAGGGTGGCATCTTCAGTGGTCCAAAATATCAGCAATTTTCAATTTTGTTTTTATTTTTTCTCATAAATTATAGCTGGACCAAATGGTCAAATATATCAGATGAAAGAATTTTGAATCTAGCTTTTAGAAAAAAATATGAATGTGGAATTTAATCGTGGTTTCACATTGAAAACATTGATTATAATGGATTAGAATAGCCCAGAAAATCAGCAATTGAAAAATAAATAAAACTGAACCACTGAACCGATTATTTGTATCAGAAGGTCAAACGAAAGATTATTAAATTTAGTTGCAAGAAAAAATAAATATTAATGTGGACTTTAATCATGGTTTTACATTGAACAATATTGATAATAATTGATTTTCAAGATTTTCATCGTCTCGGAACCAAAGAATGAAAATTTTGACTTTTTTTACATAACATATCAAACATTCAGCGATGTACGTTTTTTTCGTTTCTGCGCTAAAACTTTACAAAAATATAGAGTTTTTTGTTTTTGCTCATAAACTGAGCCTCCATTAAACAAAACATAATATTTTTGAAAAATTGTAGCTCAGAAACGAAAAAACATACATTGCTGATTTTGTTTATATGTTATGTAAAAAAGTTCAAATTTTCAAGAATCTTTCATTCATTTGACCTTTCGATCCCAAAAATCGGTCCAGTGGTTCAAAAGATATAATGCTGATTTTTCGGACCATTCCAACAGGAAAGCAGCCACCCTAATGGCAAAAAATACGAGTCTAATATTTTTCGCTTAGGAACAAAATTACCAATTATAATGAGATTCTAAGATCCACTCTAACTTTTTGTTATGGAATTGCTGAACTAGAAGATTGAAGACAGGGTTGCTATAAAAAAAAACGTTTTCCAAAATTATGAAACCATTAGTTTTTATAATGATGTTCAGTACTTGTAAGTTACAAGAAGAGCTTGTAAAGTATGTGGTTGACTCATAAAACGAGCCAATTTCGGTTTCAGAGAGTCACAATGAGCGATTTTACGATTCCTGAGCGCTCACTCTGAGTGAACGCTCACGAATCATAAAATCGCTGATTGTGACTCTATGAAACCGAAATTTTATGAGTCAACCACATACTTTACAAGCTCTTCTTGTAACTTACATGTACCAAATATAATTATAACATCTAATGGTTTTATAATTCCAAAAAACAATTTATTATAGCAAGTGAGTGAAAGCAACCCTGATTGAAGATACAAATGACTTTTTTTTCCATCGTCCGCAGAATCTGTATAAGCGGTGAATTATTACAGATCTCGCAAATCTTTAATAAAAAATTCCCCAACTGCGGTTAGAGATCTAATGAAAAAATTTCAAGTTTTTTAAAGATGTTTATACCATGACTATAAAGTTTTATTTGATGACATTTACTAGAATATACTAGAATTGATAAATGATTTTCATTGCATTATCTGAATTACACAGCATTACACAATACAACCTTCAATTGCATTTAAAAATCAGCAATGTTTGTTTGCACAAAAACAATCAAATTGCAAAGTTGGACAATGAAGCTACATAATCATGACGATAACTGTCGTTCATGTAGAAAAGTAAGTAGACATAAAAAATGTAAGTCAATTAATGTGACTTTTATATTCGGTTTAGATTACAACAAACCTACAACTCAATCCAACAGTCAAGAATATTGGAGTTCAAAATAGCAGTTCCTAATAGAATTTAATCTTGCAATTAGGTCTGCCACTTTCGCGAAAGAAAAACTTCAGCGCTTCAATTAGAACTGAAAAAAAAAAAAAATTCTAGAAATCCATAATCTTCTTTTCTCTCGCATCCTGTATTCAACGGTAGCACCAAATTCTCCTAACAAGCTTTGCAAATTAGAAATTGATTCTGTCTACCCACCCTCCCGCAGCTTCCGAGCCAGCATTTAGCTCTCAAATTAGTCCTCGTCCTAATGGTTACAAGCAACGATTACCACTTTTCCACCTACCAAGAGTATGAGTCTTGGGGAGGGGGTGGTGATTTGAAAGCATTCGATTAGATGCGATCGACCCCCCAGCTAGCCAGCCCAATCTCAAGCACCCAACAGAATGGAAGAGGACGACGGTGACGACGATTTGCTCTCACTGCTGGCGCTGTGTCTGCGCCCCGTGCATACACAACTATCGAGAAGGACACTCGATGCGCCTCTCGATAAGAGCTTCACCGTCGTCGCCATCCTCCATTGTACCTACGTGTAGCGTACATTAGTTTACTCGGATGCCTGCTGATCATGACATTTTCCACTTTTAGCCTTCAGCTGCTGCTCGGATGACGTGCTTTGTGTGTACGCTGTTCCCTTGCCCATTCTGGGACAAACAACAAACTGCTATAGGTATAGGATTGAACGGGCGACCAACGACGATGACGACGACTCGTCAAGAGAAGGGTAGGATCCGATGAAACTGCATTTCTAGACCAACAATTTAATAAGGCGGAACTACCAAACGTATACAAATTCTCGAGAACCAAAACACAGCAAACTATGAAAAACGTGCGTTTAAAGTCATTGTTTGCGTTTGCTTGTTCCGCCTTTTTCATTTACTGGTCTAGATTTTACTTCGCAGTGGAATTGTACTTACCTGGATTTTTGGGTATTTTTTTCCGTTTCCTCCTTCCTACTGAGAGGGGTGTGCGCGTAGATTGCAGATCACACACGCACACAAGCATCGATGGAACAGTGGCGAGGACTAGAGTTGATTGTGAATGTTTTTGTTTGCGTGCACTTTTTTCTCTCTGGATGTTGCACAAATGGTTCAATATTTTCGCGTTCGATTGGGAGCACTCTTTCTGCACATTGTTTCGTCATGGTTCTGGTGGAGGCGATCGCCTCGGGGATTTTACAATCCAATCGGCGGTACTTGCACGTACCGGTAGATGTACAATCGGTAGTCCTTGCTGGCGAGCACTACACTGCCATCGTCCATCAGGGCGACGTCGAAGCACTGGGCGTGTTTGACCTTGCTCTCCAGGGCCGACACCAGTTGGCCGTCCTGGGTGAAGATGGTCAGATTGAAGTTGTTGTGATTGTCGGCGATCAGGATTTCACCGCTGGCGTTGATTCCGACACCGATCGGATAGTTGGTGATGCCTTCGCCGCCAATCTGGCGTAGGAACTGACCCTCGTAGTTGAACACCTTCACACAATGCGCACGGTTGTCGCTGATGAAGATCTCTTGCTTGTCGTTTACCACGACGCCGTTCGGGAACTCCAAATGCTTACTGCAGCCAAACTTCTGCAGCACATTGCCCGACTGATCGAAGATAATAACACGCATGACTTTGCACTCAACCACCACGATGCGACCCTTGCTGTCCACAGTGACTCCGCGCGGATGCTGTAGGATGTTCGCTCCAAACTTTCGCACAAACTGACCGTACTGATTGTAGATTTGGATCTGGTGCGTAGGCGATCGCTCAGTCACAATAATGTCTCCGGACGTCCTTACCACTGCCACCCGATTCGGGTACAGGAGCTGTCCGTCACGCTTGCCACACTCTCCGAACTGGAACTTGAAACGACCTTCCTTGTCGAAGATTTGGATCCGATGGTTATTCGTATCGGCAACGATGATGTCATTCTGGGCGTTCACTGCTACACCACTAGGCTCGGTAAACTGACCCTCCATCACACCAAACTCACCGAACTTGCAGTGGTAGATCATCTTCTGTCGCTTGATTTGCGACTTCGGTGGGAAAATGTTTGTGTTCATCAACTTTGAGCTGAGATCGATCATCGATTCCTGTGGGATGTGGTTCAGTGGAATGGTGTACTGGTCGTTGACGTTGTTGAAGATGTCGTTACCGCCGTTGCTCCACTTCTCGTACGGATTCAGCGGCTGCAGGGGCTGCACATCGCCGACGAATGGTCCCAGACTGTTGGCGCTGTTGAAGCGCTTGGAGATGATGTTCGAATCGAAGGGCGAAATGCCTCCGTTGGTTTGCGATGGCGAGGTGGAAAGATGGTGGTTGTTTCCGGAGTTGTTGGTATTGCTGGAAAAGGGTCTACTGTCCATCAGGTGACTGTTATTGCCTCCATTGACCATCAAGGGGTTTTGCTGAATGAGGTTCAGACTTCCGGTGCTGCTGGACGGGCTGTTGCCATTGGTCATGATTAAGCTGTTGGAACCGATGATTCCGTTGGTTCCGTTACTGTTGTTGGTCGATGTGGGTCGTGCAATCGGTGGTTGCTTGGTCGACGACGTGACATCCGAGGTGGATCGAATGTAGCCGAACGTGTTCCGGACACCAACCTGGATCGCTTGATAGTTGGACACAAAGTCGAGCTCGTAGGATGATTGCAGATCTTGCGTGATGGCCGGGAACAGAAGGAGTTTGTTTTCCATAAACTTTCGCAGCATGATTGTCTCCGCTAGGCCGGCACATTTACTAAGGCGTTCGACAAACTCGCAGCTCTGCAGCACCTTGTCGACCTGATCCTGGCTCTTGGTTAGCAGCACCGATTGGGACATGTTCTTCGTGTTGTAGAAGCTCTCCAGCTCCTTGAGTAGTTCCGCCTTGCGCTCGTCTAGCATCGAGCGGTAGAACTGGTGCGTGTCGGTGATTTCGTTCTGAGCCTTGTGGTATTGCACCTGGATGCGCTGGGAGTTGTGTTCGACGTTCTTGATTAGCGTCCGCAGTTCGGTTGCCTTGGCACGGACTTCGCTAACCGTGTGTAGAAGACTTTCGATTTGCTTCGGTGTCGAATCCGGATTATGCTCACATTCATGCACTCCATTCGGGTGCTCCATCAGCATGCAATCCTTACACACCGGCACGCTGCAGGTGCGGCAGAAGAACTTGAGCAGTTCACTGGTGTGACGTTTGCAAAAGTAATTTGGCTTGTTTTGACCGTTCATTTCCACCCCGTTGACATTCAGTGCGGACAACTGGCTATTGAGCTGATTGACGGAATTTATCGGGAGGTTTCCACTTCCGGCTCCACCACCACCACTTCCGTTGGAGGTCGGTGGAGTTATCACATTATTCATGATTGATTTCACCAGGCTACTGGTATCGTCCTTGATGGTAAGATTTAGCGAAGTCAAGCGATGCGGTGCCGGCTCGAAGCCGTTCATCATTTTACTACTGTTCAGAATGTTGTTTGCCAGCAGGCTGCTCTCTAGCGATCCGAGCCCTCCGTTAGCAATGGTCGTTGTCGTGCAGGTCGTTGACCCCGTACTGGAGGCCGAACTACCAATACGAAACACTGAATGTCCGTCAAAACAGTGCATAAACTGATGAGCCGTAACACAGTTGGCACAGAGGAAGTTCACACAATCGATACACTTGGCAACAGCATCCGACTGTTTGCTCTTGCAGCCGGTGCACCGGGGGAACAGCGATTCCGAGCTGTTCGATTGGGCCGACTCGAGGCTCGACGCCGTTACGTAGTCGTCACAGATGGCAGAGTCACTAGCCGGAGGCGATGATCCGGTTCCGGAACCACTCAACGTAGTCAAGGGTGAGTCCGATAGGTAATCCGCTGGTTCACCGTACGATCCGATCGAGTTTGATGCACCGGGTAATGATTCTAGCGATGGCGTGGGAGATGAGGCCATTTTACTGCACGCACATCAATGGTATTTTGATTTTCAGTTTTCGTATGTCACTCGTCGAATCTTCTTCAATTTTTATTTTCTTTTCCGCACACTTCACTCTTCCGCTCTGCTTCTCATTGCTCTTCTACACGTTAATTTTTTTTTTTGGCTCAAATTTGCAACAATTTTCCCACTTTTCTACACTTTATGTTTTCACTTTCTAGCATCTCTACGGGAAATTTTCAACTAGGAAATTATTCTTCTACTCGCTTGCTTTCATTCGTTTCGATTCACTAATCTGAAATGGAGAAAGAAATTCACACTCATTTAATAACACACAATTTCCACCATCTTCATCATCATCATCTTCGTCCGAAGAATGAACGGTCGATTCCTGGGCTCCGCACTACTCTGGCGGCTTCTTTTTCTTCTAAAAATACGCGTTTTCCAGAACTCGCTTGCTTGTTCCCTCTTGCTATCTTCTTCATTCATCACACACCGTCATCATCCTCCTCCCCCTCCTCATCCTCCTTCTGACTGACTGATTGAATGCAGTGTGCGTGGTTCTAGCCTTTTTTTTTACTTTTCTCGTCACATACCCTCTGGATAGATGCAGGCACACACAGAACACAACCCGAAACCCGAAAGAGATCGTTATTTTTACTTTTAACTCGTATGTTTATGCTTCCAGCATATTTTTATTACTCTCAATTGCACTGCATTTCAAGTTCTTTCCCAACACCGCGGCGTCGTCGTCAACGGTTATGAGACGCTGCTTCGGAAGCTTGTTCTAACTCCTCTCTCCGCTTCCACAAAAAAATCGCTGGCTGTGGTCCCGTTTTTCTTTTTGTTCTCGGCGGCGCTGCCGAGCAATGGCAGACCAGAACCGAACAGGGAAAATAATAAAGGGAAAACTTAAGAAAACACAAAGTCTTTCGGGATGATTGAGCGCAGGATGCTTGTGTGAGAGATGGAGGAGAAAGAACAGAAAAAAAATGCAACTCCGGGAAACGCACCCGGGTGGTCGGGGGGAGGTGTGGCGGGGGGAATGATGAATTAGTCTGGACGGAGGTAGAAAGGGAAGGTCTCTGGGATGTGGAATGATAATCACTTTGAACGGCCGGGGCCAGGAATCGAATCGTTGGAAAAATTGTGCATTATTCGCTTCTTCGATGGAAATTTCACACACTGACGTACACGGACGACGCTATTAGGCAACTGTTTGTGTATTGCTCCTTTGTGTTCTCCTTTTAGTTATGTGCCTGGAGCGATCCCGGGATTCGAGATGGTGCCTCCAGGGCAGTAGAGATTCAAGGCTGTCTCTAGGCCACGAGGCAGTGATCCTTAGGCAGGATGGACGGATTTACACGTAAGCAAGAGCCTTTGTGGGCAATAAAACGTCACGCCAAACATATGGTTCGATCACGCGAAGACGCGACAAAGACCACGTTTCGAAAGCACGTTTTCGGTTCTTATTCTCCACACACATCGAGTTTGACGGATTAAAGTGCCTTGTTAAGGTGCACAGAATTATCGCAGCACAAAAAAAAATCCAACAGTTTGCGAATGACTAACTCTTCTCTTCTGCAAGCAGACTGACACACAACCCGTAGTAGGACTCTCTCTGTGTGTTCTATACTATAGGAGTCAGCCTTGCAGAAAAAGGAGGAAACTGACTGTATTTTGCTAAAATGTAGTGCCCGCGCACAAAACTCACTGTTACTCTCGTCGAGTCTGCAGTACGACTAGCGGCCGTTGAGCATAAAATGTGATGGAAACCAACAAGCTGGCTCAAACGCTCGTCACCACGACCAGCTCCGGACCGCCACAAACACAACCAGAACGCGTACGTGAAAGGCATGAGGGGTGTCGTATGGATACAACAAGTTCGACGACGACGACGGTAGCAGCAGGGTACTGTACCTGCCCCAGGTTCTGAGCTCACTCTCGCTCTCGAACGACGGCATTCTCATCATCAACCGCATACAGTCGCACCTTAACCAGTAGTATGCGTTATGCTACCATCATCATCATCACCGCCATTAGTTTAAGGGTAAACAAGAGAGCGCATCAAAAGCCGACAATCATCGACCGTCATCGTGAGTTCCCACCCGACGACTCACCCATACCAGAGGAGAGCACATGTGCGCGTTCAGTTTTTGTTTACACCGGAGAACCCCCTGCTTACTTGCCTGCCTGGACTGGAGAGCAAACACAGAGAGCCAATGAGCGCCACACCAACACGTTTAGCCCCAAGTTCTATCGATAATGGATACACCACCAACACCAACGCCGACCCCCCAGAGTTCAAAAACATTACGCGCTCTGCTTTGCTTTTTCCCCATGACTAAACAAAGAATCTACCAGCCAAGCCAGAAGAGAGCGCACTCCCTCACATCTCATCCAGCAGAAGAGCGGCGGCAACGGCGAACGGCGATGGCGGCCAGAATCAATGGCGGCGGTGAAGGAGAATCGGGTGTGGGGGGAGGTGGGGTGACCATGTCTAGATCCCGGCGCAGCGGTGTGGTGTGGACTTCCTTTCTTTCTTTCGGGGACTACAACGACGACAACGGGATTGGTGGCCCCGCATTCTCTGCATAACGACTGACTGCTGTTGTCGCTCTCCGATCAACAGACCACCACCGCTCTGCTCTCCTTCCAGGCTCCCCCGCCCCATTCCCACCCACTTCAGCCTACCACGGTTCGTGTCACGCGCGTTGTTGTATCGAAGGTAGTATAGGAAGAAGCCGTCGTCGTCGTGAGTAGGTATAGTCGGCAGACGGTGCAGTTTGTATCAAGGGTAACGACAACAACAACGACGACGACGACGACGACGATGCCGACGACAATAATAACAACAATAACAGCAACAATGTGGCGGTTGGTTTTTGTTTCAATTTCGCATTCGGCAGACGGTTCTTTATCAGGTGAAGAGTAAACGTTTGTTCAGAAATTTGTATGGTTGGAATTCAATCAACTGCCCAACCTTATCGACGAATTGGTTTTTGGAAACTTTCGTCGATTTGGGAAACAAGGATACCTACTCGTAAAGGTTTCCTGCCGTGTAAGCAAACTGATTTGCGGAATAGTTTTCAATTAAGGTTTGACAAATTAATTAAATAAGCTTATCTCGAGTATTCTTGAATTTGGGTACGTACGTCGATTGTTGGTAGTATTATTTCCACAGGCTGTAGGATCATCAAGCAGCTTAATTGCATTTGTAAGTATTTTTCGGGAGTGAAGTGGATCAAAAATTTGAGATATTTTTGGTTTTCAGGAAAACATACCATGCGCCTCCACCGAATGTCTCATAATGAAGGAACATGTCATACCCGCTATTATACGCTCTTAGTGAAAAACAGTAGCAATAATTGTTTGAACTGTTCATGCTAATTGCTGCAGAAAAATGGATTCCAATATGTATTTACCGTCAAACGAGGTAGATTGCTACACTCATTTACATTTGCGAACATTTAATTCCTCGGACCAATGTTAACCCAAGTGCAGTCGCGTCAAATCACCGAAAAATGAGCGGTATTTTTGCAATCGAATAGTTTTCCGATTGATTTAACAGTGTAAAATTTAGCTCTCATTTCTGCTATGTTAACTGTTGATCTCTTCAAAATGATTAACTGATTATTACTAAAAAGTTTACTGCATAACAACAATTTTTGATTACAATTTGATCTTCAGATTTGCTCGGGTGAGTAACGGCTATAGCAGACATTGTAAGTTCTAAATAGGAATGTATAAGGTAGAAAGAGCCACTTATTTTGCTTATTTGTCACTTGGATACTCCTGGATATCTCCATACAAACCTAACGGAATTATCATCACAATAACTATGTACTTTTGCTCATAATAGCCTTGAAACTCTCCACGGAAATCCTTAAGAATGCTGTCCAGAATTCGTTTGGAATTCTCTGCAAAGTTTCCTTGAAATTACGCCCATTGACTAAAGGTCATGGAAAATTTGTCATTATTAGCTGGGGCCATATTCGCCAATCCGTCACTACGCCGCTGTGAGATTGTGTTCAGAATGAAAGTTTCGGAACATCCTTCAAGGAGGTCAGTTAAGAAACAGTTTCTAGAGTACCATTTCCTAAATTACCTCCGCCTTTCCAAAACCATTATCGTTGTGGTGATTGCATTATTTTTTAGCTGTGTGTCTTCCGAAAGATCCGAAACATCAACCAAAGTAATCATTTCGAAAAAAATAATCGTTTTGAGGTTTGACCTGAATAACCAGGGAGCAACGGATGATCTGGAACGCCATTAAAATAAATCTTTTCATAAAAAGTTTTTGGTTTGTTCAAAGTCACGTTTATTTTTGACGCTTACAAAAAAAAATTAAAAGATCTATGGAACATTTGGACCAACTGTAAAAGTGTACAATTTACGAAACTGATCTAACGGCAACACGATTTTTTCAAAAATATTCATCCAAAGACGGTCCTCCGGAGGATCCGTAGAGTAAAAGTGGTTGTTTCTGGGTTTTCATCCTAGTGCTCTAAATTCTCTAGAAAACTCGTATAACTCTGATTTTTTAATGAATTCAGGATTGTGATTAACACTTGAACGCGGAACCACCTGAAGTGTTTTTTTTTTTGAAGATCCAAAATAACCGTGAATTTTCTTACTTAAAAAAAGTAAATTATTTTCTTTTCTTGAGAACAACTCCTTGACCACTAGGGTCAATATTTATGTCAAAAACTCAAGGGTTAATTTTTCAGCCACATCTTCGAATTTATCTAGGATTAGCATGATGATTCGACCACGTTGACGAATATTCCAGGATTTTCCGGGCATCCATCCCGTGGTCTCAAGAGTCCATTTTCAGGTCACTACCCCAAATCCATTTTAATCAGATGTCTATAAATTCGAAAAAAATACGGAGCTCTACGATTAGTTTCATGAATTTACTACACCGGAGGCCTTTCAAAAAAGATATTTATAAATGGATCCGAAGGGTCATCTCGTGGTGGTGGATAAAGAAACCACGGAGCTCTAGAATCAATTTAATCAATTCACAATTTTTACGGATATTCTGGATTATCCCAAGGACAATTCCATGGTCCACAGGGTCCATTTTTCCCTCGAAACTTAGAATTCTTGATAAGAGAGACGAATCAGCCCATGGCAGAAAGTATCTTTAATTAAGATATAAAAAAAAACAATAAATAATCTCGTTAGGCCGTTCGCAATGTTGTTGTATTTAATATGGACTGTTTCAATTTGAAACTAGAACAGAAACGCAGCCATCGCAATGCTGAGTAACAGTTTCATTATTCTACGCTGCACCAACTTGCAACTGCTCGATTATTCTGTGGGACTCGATTTCACGAATGGAACTCTGTTTCAAATTTCTTTCGATGTATTTATAGATGTTTATCTTAAATGTTCAGAGAATTTCATAGTAGTTGAGAGAATTTAATAGAAATTTGATAATTTTACAGAAGTTTTGAAAACTTTTGAAAAGGTTGGGATATTTCATAGAAGTTTGGAGAACTTCATGAAAATACGAAGAGCTTCACACAAAAATCGGAGAGCTTCATAGAGAACAGTAAACTTGATGGAACTTGTATTTAAAAAAAAAGTTTCAGGAATAATCATTTAAGTTCAGGTAATTTCATAGCAGTGAGACGTGTTTCATAAAAGATCGGGAAAAATAATTGAAGTTCTTTGATATTAATAGTATATTATAGAATCGATTAAAGGGTTTACGGCACTTTCAGTCTTTTAAGTGCAGCAAAAACGTTTTATTGCTTCAACTCTCCGACGTTTCGGTGATATAGTTTATCATTTTCAAGGATTTCTACAATTGGTAATGAAGAGGATTTAGAAAATTTTATAGGTATTGTGTTGGTTATGTGGCTTACAGAGGGCACGTTTTTGTTAAGTGTATGCGTGGTTTTACATAAATCCGTCTTTGATTAATAATGGCGTCCATCTACTGCTACAATACAAATTCGGTTAGATTTAATTATTGTTGTGCTCTACTCTACACGCATAGTTTTTGCTGCACTTAAAAGACTGAAAGAGCCGTAAAACCCTTTTATCTATCCCTGCAACACACCTGTCGCAAGCTCTCAAACTTTCTTTATATTATAGAACTTCGTGGAAACACATGAATCTTCACAGAATTGCATGAAAGCGCTTGCGTCTCTTACATCAAACAAATATTCTTTCATATGATACCAGGCTGCTCAGAAATTATTCCAACGAGCTTCAGGTGTTTTAAGATCTCCATGAAGTCCTCTTGACATTTTTTTCAAGACTTCCGATTGATCAGGTATTGTTCTAAAGATCTCAATTATCCAACAATTCAAACCACGTTTATTAGATGTTCTCTCATTGAAACCAGGTTGCTCAGAAATTATTCCGAAGACTATCAGTTGATCAGAGAACCTAATGATAACCTCAGGTTGCTTTTACTGGTTGATCAGGTATCATTCTGACAATATCAAACTATCCAACAATCCAAATCACATCTCTCAGATATTCCCTCTGGCAGCTCAAAAATTATTCCAAAGTTTTCTGGATACTTTTTCAAGACTTCCGTTTGAGCAGGTACTATTATTTCAAACTCTCATGATACCAGGTGACTCAAAATATCTTAAAAAACCTTCAGGTGATCAGAGATCTCCAAAAACTTTTTTAAATTAAAATATTTTTTCAAGTCCTCAGGGTGATAGAGTATTATTATGAAGATCTTCACCTATCCAAAAACTTGAATCATGT